ATCCACAGAAAGAGGCATGAATCATCCCGCCGCGCGGTTCAGAATTGACTGTATATAATCGAGCGCAGACACTGTTTGTTTTTGAATTGGATCCATAGACGTTTTCCCAGCCAGCTAGCCTTCTCGTTATAATACGACTAAGCGTCTCAAACAGCCTCTGCTAAGGAAGCCCTACTCACTGCCTTCTCGCGGCGGGGGTGTTTTCCCAACAAAGTGAGAAAATGGAAAACCGATATTCGGGGCTATAACCGGGTTGATGGACCACTGGTAGTTCACCTAAGAGAGTTGATCAAAAACCCTGATTCCAAACCAACCAAAAGGAGGTGTACGAACCACACTCATTCACACCCTCGTCGGTGTGGCAGTGGTCACCGGCTCGATTGGGCATCAAGGTGTCTTGGTCACCTTGGACGTCTGACCCCATCTAAAGGGCGTATGACCCGATGAACTGGACACCGGCTCCCAATGGACTGCGGTTCTCACACACCGCCCGGCTGTCTTGCGGGTCAGGCTTTGGCCAGCCGAAGGCTCCGGTTGTGGATTCCTCAAGAAAATTCACCTGCCTTTGCGTGAGCAACTTGGCAGTATTCGACCTTCATGTAAATCGTAGAGTGTCTTTCTTTTTATAAAGAATATTGCACTACGTTTTGTTTGGTACATAGTCTGTCTTCAGACACGTATGAAGTATGTTACATATATTTAAGAGAAGGGTGACCAACCGCAGCCCTTGTCACCCAGCCCCGACTATACTGAGGTTGTCGGAGACAACTTCAAGCAACTCTGTGGAGAATCAGTCCACTTTCGGCAGGCAGTGATTTTTATCCCATTTGGTTTGCGGCACACTGAAATCGTGTAGGATCAGACAATGATGATCGCGGGTTCAGTGATGCATATCATTCAAGATAGCCACAGAAGCTGCCGTGCATGGTCTGTAGCAGACACCAATCGTCGCTTAGCCGTTGCAGCAGTTTGGTTTTGTACCACAATGCTTCTCCTTGCTCGTCAGGAACCGCAGAGCGTTGGAGGTGCAAAATAGTCCCATCCTCAGGAATCTACAGGATGATGTCTCAGCCAGCCCCTGATTACACCCGATTCGATCGGAATGACGCGTACCCCGGGAGGGAGATTTCCGATTTGTTTACGTCTGGAGTGAGCCACGTTTCCCGAAGGGCGATTATTATTGATGAATGACCTTTGTGAGGGTTTCTAGCTCGTCTCACTTGTTCAGGACACTGCATACTTTGGTGAAAAATGCACACACGACTACGCCTCAGTGGTAACTGTCGGTGCATCCCAATGGTTTATACCGCAGGCTACTCTGTCAGAGACAAGTAGAGGACTCCATCGGAAATGTAAGCGCCTCATTTGAACCCGAAAATCCTGAATGAATAGGTCATTTTCTTCATTGACTCGGCGCTCGTGTAGCTCGGCGAGCTTCTGTTTGAGCGTGTCACGTTCGTCCACGTTGATATTACGTAAGAGCCTGATGAGTTTCTCTTTCAGACAGAATTGTCGCTGGAACACCGATCTTGTTTCATCCCCGGACCCGAGTATGACACTGCACTACAAGCTGGCGAGGCAGAGAGCGAAATATTTCGCGTTTCACGGTTGTTTGTTGGTATGACCATGTTGATAGAATGAACGCATACGAAACAGATTTATTATTGGTAAAGAAGCGAGAATTTTTTTACAAACAATGCTCAGGTGGTGCTTTGGACTCTATGGTCCGAGGTTCGAGCCCCGCCACAGCCACCCGGCTTTGGTGTAGGCTGCTTTGCTGTCGTCCGGTTCAACACCACGCCTAACCTATCGGAGCTCTATGTGGTTCACCGGGGCTTAGGTTACCGGTTTCCATCACTGAACACCAGGTCGTCGTGACTATGGGGTTTACCCCGTCTGCTGTTCGTCACACGAAAGTGTGGAATGAAAAAAAGATACGTTTATGTGATTTCAACTCGCGGGCTGGAAAATTTGGTCCTTCGGCTGTTTGCCTAGGTGGTCCTTGTGCTCTGCCCTGCCAACGAAAAAATAACGGTGACCGATCTCTTCAATTCTGCGCAGACCGCCATCTGTTTTTGCCCAGTACCAACCTCCGGCACAGCTCCCAATGCACCGCAACATTTAGCTACAAGTCAACGGAGACGCTAATTTAACTCGACCACATGGCAGTAATCTACCTTTGACGAAGCTCACTACATCTGCGTTTAGTCTAACTGCGCATTAGATTTGATGCACGTCATGTTCCAACTTCCTAATCACTGACAGAACCGGCAAACTTGGTTAGCTCATCATCACTTGTCTTATCCTGCAATCCGTGCTCGTTATGAGCCAGAGTTAGTGCGTGAGTTAAGCACGCCTCAACGTGGTGGTATGTATAAGCAGTGGGATCAGATTGGCCGAGTGATGAATTCCGCAACAAATGTTGCTTATTGAAATAAGTCCCAAGCTCACCTGAGGTATTTTATATCCCATGGATCACTAGCCCTGGTAGAGAAGACGATAAACCCGACCTGCCACGATGAAAACAAATGTAGTTGGCGTCTGCGACGCCAGATCACGAAGAGTCTCAAGAAGAACTGCGAAAACTGATAGTTAATTATGGTCAGTGAAGTGAAAGCAGCAGCTGTTTTGTCGAGACTACTGAATTTTTCACAATTTTAACTTAAAATTTGTGGTTATAATTTTCCATTTCCCGGTAGTCTTTCATTACATTAAGCGTCTAATCACACTAATCACAGTTTATATTTCGCAGGATGGAATTGCACGATAATAAACCGGCTTCTTACACAACTTGGTCGACAAAACAAGTTATATCATGGTTACAAGGTAGTGTACTGTTGTTGATTAACACTGTTTCAGGTTTGGACGATGTAATTGAACCGTATATTGCCGAGCTGACTTTGAAAGGAATCGATGGCAAGTGGTTGAATACAGTGACACCAGGCGAATTGAAAAAGCTCGGCGTGAATAAAGTTGGACATCAGATGATAATCATGGATAAAATACGACAACTCCAGAACCAGTACGCTTCGTTTGATACAGAAACAATGCAAACTATTTTGTTTCGCGTGTCACGCTCTTGCGTTTGCATTATCGCTGCGGTGAAGTCCCTGATGGCAATCACCGAACGACAAGATAGTCGTGAACCTGATGCTGACAGTGTGTATCCGGGAATTCTGGATGACATTCAAGATGCCGTTGCGTATGCATTGAGTAGTATTTTAACACTCATGTCAGCGGTGATGAATGCTGCGTTTTGGCTCGAAAGGTACGCAGATCGGGATTGATCTTCCTGTTGTCTTATCTTGTAGACCTCCTTTTCTTTTATTACCTGAGATGAATGGCTTTCGTCAGTTTATTATTGGAAGTGCACTAATTGCCAATAGATCTGCATTGTTAGCTATTTCAACACAACTGAATTCTCATTTCAAAGAAGTTCTATTCTACGTAAGTCACTCTACGTTCTGTCCTAGCATTTTCCCGTTTCCAGATTGAATCAGTGCGCGTTCGTGTCGAGGAGGTAATTCAGAATTGTGCGGATTCAATCATGTTGACCCCATGTGGTATGGAATTGGTACACATTAGAAAAATCGACACCGCAGAATTTGTGAGTTTCAATTCCAATGGGAGTGAAGAATCTTAATGAAAGTTCAAGCTCGTTGTTGCTTTTGTTGCTTTCTTCTCAAAACGGTTTTCGTTGGAATGTGATGTCACCTGCATTGCTTACGTAGAGGATGTTTTAGTTTCCATCATGCTTTTTACTTCTGTTACGTTTTTTTCAGTAAGAGAACGGTTTTGGGTATGTATATATCATAGGGAAGTTCGTCGTCATTAACTTTAGTTAATGAAGCGTGAATTGAGAAGCTGGAAAGCATTGGACAGCTCTTTCGACCTGGCTGGGTCTCATCAGCAGTGCAAATCCATCGACCCAACTGGGACCTCATAGGTAGAACGCAAGCATGCTACCAACTCAGCCACCGGGCGGCTGTTCAGACCGTTTTTCATTTTCCATTACCCTCATGTAACGAGTAGTCAGGTGAAAATTTTCAACCGAGTCATGACCCCGGAAGTTAATGCTGAGATGAGAGAGGCGCAATCCCCGCAACCAGCTCGCAAAGGTGAGTTGTGTTATATCGTGCATATACCAACGAAATATCCTTATTTGCTTCACTTTTGTCAACCTTGTCCTGCACGAGTAAATAGCAGGATTAGGCGGACGATGGATATGAATACTTAGAGCATGACCGAGGTATCAGAGACAATGGAGAGTGATTCTGTTGGATTGAACGAGAATCGACTTTCAACCTATGCAACTGAGGGCGTTGGTTATCGTGATATCGTTGAGTAGTTGGTGATTAGTTAGCTTCCAACGATGCGTAATAAATTCATTCCGCACAACGAATACACGTTGATAAATAAAATGAATCGCCCTACCGGTTTTTCATAGATACGGCTGATACAGGATCCCCTTTTTCAGGTCCCAAAAGGATGATGATGATGACGATGATCGGTCAGATTGGAATCGTCAGCATTAAAATACAGGTTTTTATTCGAAACAGGTGGCATAAACAACGTACATCTGCACCTCGTTACGAAACGGGAATCCACATCAATCAAGCTTTGATTAGATTGTTGAACATAGTTATCTGTTTTCACAGATGTGATCAACGGTTGGAGTTATTCATATTCCTGACTGGCCACTTGAATCGTTTTTTGGTTTTAACCCCATCCCACTGAAATGCTTTTCCTCTCTCACCACATACAGGGTTTCAATTTCCGTTCCACATTGAACAATGTTCACATGATCGTCTCGGTTCAAGGAGAGGTAAGAGCCCATTGTTTCTTTTTTTGAAACAGTTTTAAAATTTGATATGAAAAGTACTCAGTGAATTGGTTTGGTTTACCTAGGTACAAGAGAGTCAGTTTAAGCAGTAAATGGATTGGCCACTGTTTCACAAATTCGTTATAGTCTTGCTGTATGTTGTACCGGTGGATGTGGTCGGGAGTTGGATAGGCGTGCATTGATAGGCAATAGCCGGGATGGGGGTGATGGTGTTCAATGTATCAAGGCGTCTTACTTTATGGGATTGGTAGTTCTGAAAAGTAGAATGACTATGCTAGGCTGAATTGACCTCGAAGTACCGTTCGTTCATCTATCCAGTGTCCGGATGGGGTATCAGTTTATTTAGATATTTTACTTTGACTATTGGCGTGCTTCAATATCTCTTCCCACAATGGTTTGCAAGTTTGCTAGGACTATAAGGGCAGTAATTATGGTAAACTGTCCGTGGGTTGCTGGATTAAGGAGATCAACTAATGATCAAATGGTTGAATAAAAACGGTTAAAGGTGGCCACATTTTTGTTATTTGGGCTGGTCTAGTGGGAGTTAACCGAGTCCCCATATTTTGTCACAAAAGACAAATAAATAATTCGCTCGGGTATAAAAATCTATTTTTATGCGGCTGTTCTTGATAGATGAAGCATCCAGCGTTGGTGGGGTAGCGGTTGGATGGTTTAATGAACCCGCCACTGCCATCTATTTCTGTTGGCAGACGGTTTCTTTGCCACATACCAACCGTTACCCCTCGGGGACTTATGTGGTTTGCTAATACCACAAGTCCCAAAGCGCTTAACGGAGTCTTATTGACCTTGCTGATTAGAATGAATGATCTCAGGCAGGATTTGGCTCCTTGAAAATCTGTGCGTACCACAATCCTGTATTGTTACTTACTTTTTTACTTTTAGCGACTAACTCCTGCGGGAGGATAAGTCAGTTTCTTGAATGTCTCAGATGATGGAAACCTATGCGTGACAATCAGCGACTAAGTTGGTGCAGTGTGAGATCCAGTTCTGGTTCCACTTGCGAATTCCATATACGGATTCCATATCCAACTTGATCGTATTGCTCCAGG